AACGTTTGGTTTCTTACCTGTCGGGTACATTGTGATGCTTTTGCATCTTTTGGGTTTATTGGTGGTTTATATGGGCCCTCCGTACATGCTTCATTAGTCGCTCCTTGTTGCCTCGGTGACGCTGACTGCTTCGAGTTTAACAACATATTCTCCTGATTGAGAGCGAAGTATCTGATTGAGAGCGAAAGCCAAAAAAATTGAAATTTCGGGTCCAGACGCCTCTTGCCATTTCTTGGCAAGTAGGGGACGGGGTATTCCAAGAAGCGGTGCAAATTGAAGGTCTCATCAGCAGCTTCGCGAGCATATGCGTGTCATCGTCATCGGATGCTGCAGCGAGGAGCTAGACAAGTTGCTAGATTTGCCCAGATTGGCTATTTCTGCTCAAACTGTTTCAGGGCGGTATCGCGTCGGGCGGTGGGCTCTGCTGTAGCTTCTGCTCCCCGCTGTAGCTCCACAACGAGAGACTCCCACAGGATGACCAGGGTAGCGGCTTGAAGCTACGGGCTAGCCCTTCAATTCAAGCTACACAGCAAGCTCCACCTCTCAGTGGTAGTCCGGCTACAGCGTATCGCGCAATCTCGCTCTCAATCAGATGCTACGCTCTCAATCAGGCGAATATGTTGTTGTTTATAGTCTTTCGGTTCGTACGTGTAGTTTTCGTCTTCCCGACCGTGGTTTTCTTGTGTTTTTCTTTCTTTCGTTGGGTCCTGACCTGTAATGGTATTTGTAGCGTTGACGGTTTTTCTGTTGTTATTCCTTTCTTTCGTCTGTGTTCGTAGCCCCGTATTTATCCTTTTTCCTTCCTCTTTGTTGGGTCAAACGATGGTCTTGCGACTCATCGTGTGAGAGGTGTGGGAGTTTGAATTTTGGTATTTTGGAGCTTCGCATTCTCGATCTTTTCATTTTGGGATCAGACAATTGATTGTCAAGTTCCGAGATTTCAAGTATCTGCGTATGAGAATCTCCAGGGTGGGCTAGTGTTATGGGATTGGAATTGTAGCAAGTATCAACGGTTATGCGGCGTAATTCCCTTAGGAAAGTGCGGGAGATGCAACTCCCGCTGGAAGCATAAACCCGGGGACAGGTCCTTTGTAGCCCCTATTTGAGGGAGCTCGACCTCCTCCACTGTGCGCAGTCAACCTTTGAGAGCAAGGCAACAGCAAGCACAGCTGTTCCCAGAGATTAATAAACAAGTGAGTCTTCCCCAGGGTCTTCAGGGATTGTTACGCGTGAATCCCACAACACAAGGCACCAAATCTCCCTTTCCACGGCAACAGAGTGGCTGAAGAAGAAGGGATGCGAATACCACGACGGCAAAAAGGGTCTAAACTTCGATGGCCACGACGACGAGAAGACCCTAGCGTACCGGCACGACGAGTTCCTGCCGGCGCTGTTCGAGACCCGCGACTACATGGAGGTGTGGATTGCAATGGGCAAAGAGGAAGCGATCGCCTGGGACATTGACGTTGATGCGGTGGAGGAGTCTGAGCGCTTGCCGGATTGTGGTGTCTAGGTTGGTGTCGATGATCTCGAGGCAGCGCTTGCAGACTTGCCCGCAGACCTGCAAGCCAGCNAGTTCCTGCCGGCGCTGTTCGAGACCCGCGACTACATGGAGGTGTGGATTGCAATGGGCAAAGAGGAAGCGATCGCCTGGGACATTGACGTTGATGCGGTGGAGGAGTCTGAGCGCTTGCCGGATTGTGGTGTCTAGGTTGGTGTCGATGATCTCGAGGCAGCGCTTGCAGACTTGCCCGCAGACCTGCAAGCCAGAGTGCAGAGCAAGAAAACCTACCCCGACGGGAGGCGGGCCATGCTTCTCTACCAGGACGAAAGCATATTTCGAGGTTAGTCTATTTAATTTAAACAGAGAAAGTTGGCGCGACTGATTTGTAAATTTATTCCGGACGTGACTAGTAATCTTGCACGCAATTCAATATTATTTCGGGGCTGTGACCACAGATATGTTGACAATGCCACACCCGCCGCCCAAAACTATCGGTGTCCTTTTCGAGTTTGTAGCCAACGACGACCAGAGGTACGCGTGGTATCGGGACGGCCGCACGTTCCCGTCAAGAAGTCACAAGGCCAGGGGATCATGGTGTTGGGGACCATCATCCACAACCTCGGCGTCTTCTCGGCATCGCGGGAACAGATCAAGGAGGCGGAGCGCAACCGCAGGAAACAATGCGCTGCCTCAGTTGCCGCGAAGCGGCGGGGGGAAACGTGAAAGTCGAGAAGTTCCGCCCTATCGACATGCTACACAAAGACGAGCACGGACGGTACTGGTCCTACCACCTCTTCGAGTACGGCAAGAACAAGGAGGGATACTGGACCGGGCTCAAGATGCTGGACCACATGGCAGACGTGCTCGACGTGTTCACAGTTCTCTACCCTGAGCACAAGCCTGTAGGCCTGTTCGACTGATCGTCCTGTCATGATTGTATGGAGGCCGGCGCACCGTCGGAGAATGAACTTGGGCGTCGGTGGTGTGAGGAACGGAGAAGAGCTTGCGCCGATGGACCCCGTGACCATCCTCGAAGACACCCCGAACCTCCCAGCGGGCACGATACAGCACTTGACGTTCCGGAGGCGAGACTCCCCCCCTTCCACTCCCCGCATCTCCGGCCGGCCGAGTATGTCGGAAAGCTGAAAGGAATGCGGCAGATCTTGTGGGAGAGGGGGCTCCTGGTCAAAGGCATGAGTAAGACCGGGGGCTCAGGCGAAAAGCAGGACCTCAGCAAGAGCATGGAGCACGTTCTAGGAGCGCAGAAAGAATTCAAGGAAGTTGATTCTAGTCTGGTGCTGTTAATGTAGCGCCACGGGGGGGCCTGTCTCATGCTTCCTAAGTACCACTGCGAGTGTAACCCCATCGAACTTGTTTGGGGAAGGGCGAAGGACTGAACTCGCAAGAATCGCACGTATTCGTTGGAATGCTTGCGCAATAACGTGCCGCTACGTTTTAGAGCAGAGAAGGATAGGCAGGCTGTTCCGGTAGTCCAGGGCTACTGCAAGAAGGCATACACACACGCCCTCATGTACCGCGAGACGCGTGTGGAAGGGCCTGAAGGCAAGAAGACGTACAAGAAATACAAGTCACACAGGCGCCCGACCCCGAAGGAATGGAGATAGTAGATGGATGGCGCATTCTTGTTCGTTGAGGTGAACTTTTTCAGTTTTTTTCCCATGTTTTCTGGAGGGAATGTTGTACAAAAAAAGGATGTTTTGGTTGAGAATAGGCAATATTTACAACGGAAGTACGTTGGCGGGTGATATAAACACGCTGTAGGCGCGGCAGAGGCATTTGTGAAGTGGTTGGGGGTCTTCCGGTACACGTGTAGGTGGTTTGGCGAGAAAAGTAATAATCCGCTGTAAGAAAATATATGGGTGAAACGCTGCTCTAGGGCCTAGGTCGAGGGTTCGAGACTCGCCGTGAGCACTTTTTTTTCTTCTTTTTTCTGGCGACTCGCTGCTCTTTTGCGCCTTGCTGCGGGCGTTCCAAAACTGTCTTTTTTTTAATTCGATCTCAGCCAAAAGTTGTGGAGGGACAACCAAAATCGGGTCCTTGACAATTACCACTTCAAGCATTAATCACCAAGCCCACATTCATGGCACAGCCCTCACACCCACGCTTGGCTACCAACAAAGCTCGATCTCCCAACATTACAGCCGGGAGAGAGAGAGTGTATCCCGTCATCCGTACCACGAGCGAAATGCGAAACTTGCCACCATCGACCACACCTTGGCATCCCGTGTTCCTTTCTGAACAAAAAATACTATTCCACTCCTAGACCGTAGATCTTGCCATACCCTTGCTGGACTCTTTACCGTATGCAAGGCAGTACTCTGCATCCATCCTGTTCGTTCATCGAATATGCCGTCGGTTCTCTTCTCCGCATCTATCAGCCTGCATCGTTAGAGTGGGTCGTGCCAGTAGGACAACCAAGTACAATAGGAGTTACGAAGCCATGAGTTAAAAACAAGTTTAGACTAAAACAAATACCGTTCAAATTGTTTTTTTCAAAGAAAGACATGGCGAAGCAACACAGCTGGAAGTTAGACTCCATTATTCCCGCAGAACAGGGGTACTGCTGTAGCTCAAGGTTGAAAACCAGATTACAAATTAAGTCTCGAGCACAAATTGAGGCTTTTTATTGTTTGCGGGCGCCTACTGCTGTGCCCTGAACGCGCAAACTAGTAAAGATATTCCTGTCGGGCTCTGTCTCCCCTGCCCCCCCCCCGCCCCCCTGCCCCACAACCTACAAGGTGCTACGAATCGTTTTCGTTCTCCTCTCCCTTGGCTTCCCCGCTGACCGAACCCGCTGACCTGCCATTGGTGGCGGGTGGGACATTTGTTCCTTCTTTAGGCCCAAGTTCAGAAAGCGTTGAAGCCTCCTTCACTTCGCCGTTGGCAGTACCGTCCTCCACTCCCGTCATATCACTGTCTGCCGCTTCACCACCCCTTTCATCCTCAACAGCAGCGCCGTCGGAGTCTTTCTCCTTGAGCAGGGGTATCGCAACCCACGCCAGGAACATCTTGCCCAACATGCAACCAGCGGATACCACAACTAGCATCAGCCGAAGGGAGTCGGAGAGGTCGTCGTGGCTGAACTTGAGGAAGGACGCCATGAACACGATGGACTTCACGAGGGTCAAAACGAAACCGGCCTTGAATGCTGCCGCTCCGTCCAATATGGAGTCCAAGAAGGGCATGGCTACAAACCTCACGCGAAATCGAAAGGCCCGCACAGCTTTACGGTCGCTCCACTGTACTACAACACCCCTGGCAATCCACAGGTATGCCAATACCAATATAAACCACCAACGAATCAATACTAGAAGCATGACTAGGGGAAGGAAGCGGTGACCAATCTCCAGGACGTGGTACACGAAGCAGAACCTAACATGCGTGCGCGCGTGCACATCGCCCGATCCTCTCATCGAGCTGGAAGGTGGATGAGTGTTTGGGTGTATGGGTGAGTAGGTGAGTGGGTGGATGGGTGGTGGGTGGGTTGATGGGTGGAGCAAGTGGTTCCTTGCAACACATGGTTTTGAATTCATGTTTTCAAATTCCACTATAGATATTCAAATCTCACTATAGATATTCACATTTCACTTAACATATTCAAATCTCACTATAGATATTCAAATCTCACTACAGATATTCAAAATTTGAAGATCTTTAGAAAGGGGTGACGAAGCGCCATAAAGCCTCCGAATGGTCCAATAATCCAAAATCTTCATGTAGTAGATGGCAAGGGGGTTTACTTGAATTTAGTGTAGGAATCGGGCATTTTCATTTATGTTTTAGATAAATGCCGGGACTGTGAGAGGGAATCGTGCAAATCGACTTTTTCCATTCACCCACCCACACACCTATTCACCAACCTAAACCAACCGACCCACACCCGCCGCCCCCAACGATGAATCGTGCCAAGTACAGACAGCTGGTGATACAGGTGGACGCCGATTCGTGCTGCAGAAATGGCGTCTCAGGTAAACATGCTTTGGCGGTATTTTATTCTAGCACCAGTGTACGCACTCAGCAACGTTTGACGCACCACCCAAAGGTCGCCTACCTTGTTTCATTCATAGCCTCATGGGAGCCTGCTCACGAACTCAGGTGCATGTATCCTTTCCCCATCACGTGGTTCGAACAGAGTGCCGTAGGCGGAGTGGAAGAAACCGCACGGCTACAGTTCCGGGAAAGATGCCGACCGGAGCTGACAAGAAAGATCAAGACCACGATCACTGGCGTAAAAGGGAGGCGGAGTGGGCAGGCTGGGGTGTTCAGAAAGCTTCTGACAAAAAGATGGCCGACACGAAGGAGAAGCGCGACGACGCGCGTGAGGTGCACGAGGCCAACCAGAAGAAAAGAGAGGAGGATTTGGAGGCTACTTCTTCAACACCGCACGTAACCGAGAGGCAGGAGGAGGGTTCCCTCGGAAACGTGCGAAATTTGTGAATGATTGTTGATGGTATAACCAAACGACACATGGTGCCACCACACATCGGTTGCACTTGTGTACGCCAACCCCTTTCGCTCAGCCTTCCGCTCCGCCTTCCGCGCCGCCTTTCGACTAAATTGACACTGTTATCCCATCTCTCACCCAAAAAAACAGTGTCAGTCAAAAAGGATGGTGGGAGCGGAGCAAGCGCAACATCATCTGGTTGGTGGACGACAGAGAGCGAAAACAACAGCCGCTGCGATTCCTGAAGACAATCGTCTCGAGGCTATGGACGTTGACGGCGTTGGTGGCGACGTTGGTGGCGACTTTGGTGGAGATGGCAGCAATGACGACGGTGGCAGCGGTGGCGGCAGCTGTAGCGGTGGCAGTAGTGGCAGCGACAGAGGGACATGGAACGGGGGTGGTCCCGTGCGAAAGGTCGCGTATAAGCAACGACCAAAGCTGTACGCTTCTACCAAAATAATTGCACGCCTGGTTGAGCCGTGGCAGGACGGAAGTCGCGAGTGGATGGAAAGAAAAAGAGAGTCGGGTGGTGAAAAAGCTCAAGAGAGGGATGGTACGTTATCCCGCGCAGCAAATGAACCAAGAGGAAACACTTCGATACCGGTCATGGTCAAACTACTGGGTGATGGCCTTTGTACTGACCAGGGAAAGGGTGACATCGAGATCTCAGACGGGGTGTACTACAAGCGTGCCGAGTTAAGGAACTTGCAGTATTACTACGACAAGTCCTACGTGCTCGACCCGCAGAACATCTGGGTGGTTTTCGGCCAGACGAGGGTCAAGATCGATGGCGGGGTCCACGTGGTGAAATCAGTCGATCACGGCAAATACACACTGGAAGGTCGGGAATCCACAATTACCCAGTGGGAGCTGCTGGAAAAACGGTGCGATGAGGGGGTGACACTGTACACCGACCTCCGGCGGTTCATCCTCCATCTGGTGACAAAGTATACGGTCATGATGGGTTCGGTTGTACCGGCTCTCACCGGCGTGTTAACTGTGATGCTCTGGAACCCGAATGATGCCGTGGCCAATAAGTGTGGTGACGACACAGATCCGGAGAGCAACATGAAGACCAGCGAGCTGATGTCGATCAAAGAGCGCGTGGATACTCTGCGGGACTTGTCGTTGGCTTCACCAAAACCCCCATGGAAGCCACCCTCGGAGCAAACTTCTGGTCAGACCGACAAGACGAGTCCTTGCAGGACTTCGCCGCACAACCTGAGTCGCTGAGCCAGCTGAGCTTTCTAGGCGGGCTAGGATGCGTCGCCGACGACGATCTAGTACAGGGGTGCCTTTTCACGGGAGATATTGTGAGAGGGGGGCATACCTTACCACCGCCGGCGGAGCGTATGCGTGGTTCCTGAGAAGAGAACCTCAACATCGTCAGCAAGTTGTTGACGTGTGCTTACCGATCGGGCCGCCCGGGTAACCTCCTCGAAGCATATCAACCATGTACTCTGCAAGAATGCAAGCTCTTGCAAGAACATCATAGCCAGTGGTCCGCCAACATCACACACAGCCTGAAAAGTCTGAGCGTTCGTGACACAAGGAGCGCCAATGTCAGCGACAGCGAGCTCGGAGGAGACATGTCGTACGCGTTGCGTTTCGCTCTGGCGCGATGCAAAACGTTTGTTCACAACATGCCACCAGTGGTTGTCGTTGGATGTGGGATCAGGGACGCGGCCAAGTACGGGCGGGTAGGCCTGCACTCGTTGGACACGACGTTCTTCAGCCACGCAAGGTTTGGCCCTCGTCTTCTCGAGCACGTACTGGGTGCCGACAGCAGCCACGGTGCGGTGCAGAAGACCCTGGATCACTGCCATTCCTTCTTCCAGAACGCAAGGAATCTGCGAAAACACGTCGGAGCTTATACCAACGGCGGTGTCGGAGACGGGATAAAGCTCCGTAAACAGAGGGTCCCATTGGTGGAGGACACACCAGAGGCGAGGGAGGAAGCGATGGACATGTTTATGGGGGCCATGTCCGCCAACGGGTGCCAGCGCGTGATGGAAGCCGTTGAGACAATAGACCCCGGTTTCGTCGAAAGGGGGCTGGACCGTCTCACGGAAGCGAAGACCGCTTCCACGCTTTTCGAATTGGATGGCATCGGTGGAGAAGAGCATCTGCTCGGCAAAACGCCCGAGGAAGTCGCAGAGGGTGAAAAGAGTGTGGTGAAGCTGCTGCAGGCCCTGGAAGAGGATGGCATCGATTCCGAAGACTTTGTAGTCTTCAGCGTCGCTACGCATCTGGCAATGCTTTTCAACGGAGCCACCCTACGCCCCCAAGATTTCTTCGGACTGGTTGGCAAGACCACATACTTCAAACCGAGCGTCGGAAGGATGACGATCCGGCTCCCGGCAGAAGGGAAGTAGACGGAGTCCGCCGAAGAATCTTTGTCGACAGTCTGCATGGAACACGGCGTGGAGGGCGCAGAACTTGTGCGGTGGTTGGCGGTGATGGCACTGGTTGGGCGGCCGTTCCTCAAGAAAGCCAACGGAGGGGAGCTAGACACAAGGTTCGGTCCGCTGGGAATAGATGGGAAGGCTCTCAGCCAAGGTGTATTCGGCACCATACTCGAAGAAACCGGGTTGGCGTTCTTCGGGTTGGACAATGTTGACGTCAACGCCCTTCGGACCGCCCAGGTCACGCTGGCCGTCGAGTACGTCATCAAGCTTGGATTCACCCTGGACGCCATGTGTCTCGATGAGCTAGCTAAAGGTTAGAGGACCTCGAAAGCGGTGAGTCATTTTAGTGAATGGTACAGTTATTCGACTTTGCGAATTGTGATCATGTGGTCGTTTCCGTTTCCTTTGCTAGAAACTTCGGGAGCAAAAAATGTCACACTTTTTCCCTTAACACCACACCCACCTCAGAACGTCACCGACATCTACAACGCGAGACGCTCCGACCCGGTCAGCGCGACAAAGAAGTGCAAGGAGGGGGAAGTGTCTTTCAAGGGGGGCATCAGGAGAATGCTGGACGAGAGACGTGGCCGGCTCAGCGGGGGATCGGACACCCCCTCGGATATCAGCAGCACGACCGATGAAGACCTTGACGTGCACTTCATCCGAGTCGAGAAGGAGCTGAAGTTGAGGACGAAGGAACTCGAGTTGGCGAGGGTGGAGGACGAACTGCGCCTCCGCAAGTCTGACGCATGGTTCGTGGCCGGCCCTGCCGTTGGCGCCGTACCTGCCACCGGCTCTTGTACTGATGCGGCTTCATGACTGGGACTGCTGCTTGCGCTACAACCGTTGCTGCTGGCGCTGCTGTCTCGAGCGTGCCCAAGAGCGCCGCACCCGTGACTGGCTCTGCAGATGGTGCTGCACCCGCTTCTGGTGCGGCTGTGTCGAAACAGCCCAAGCAAGGCCGGCGCCTGTACAAGAAGAAGGTGAACGCACTTGTTCCTATATGTTCTGAGAAGAGTTGGGGCTAGACATGGGAACACTCCATATTTTTGGGAAAAATAATACTTATGGTGTACAATACCGACGAATCCATTACAGACGCCTCGGACAACCGACGAGGCCAAACGCGAAGGGGTGAAGGCGATGGTGAAGGCGATTGGTGAAGCCTTCCAGCGGGCCAAGGTCAGGACCGAGGTCAACGACAAGAGAGACGGTGTTCATCACTACATGGCTTTGCCCAGCAACCAAGCTTCGAGGTTTTATCTGGTTCGGTACTTGGTGAAGAACGACGCCGAATTCGCCCCAGGGGCATGGTACGTCAACAGCAAGCATCCCACGGCCAAAGGCTCCATCGCCTTCGATGAGCTAGTTGGTTTGGTACAGGACCAGGTCGAGGATTTCCACTGGAGTTCGTGGCGCGACATGTAGGGTGAGCACGCGAGGGAATGGTAGTCTTACTGGAAGCGATCAAGGCTGCGCACACACGCGCCACAGCTAGGGTTGGTGGCGGTAAGATTTCGAACAGAATGTATTTGCTTGAGTTTTCGTGTCATACGTAACCAACGGATCGTAAGGGATTCCAATTGCCGGAATCAATTCGGTGGTTTCGTGTTTATCTCGTTAAGGAGATTCCGCTGAGAAGCAGATATATAAAGGGCGGGGAAAAAAATAAAAACAAAAAGGTGTTTCCACCAATGTAAGCACGGTGTTCTTTTGTGCTCAAATAACGCCGGTGCCTTGCCTCGCCTCGCCTTTTTGCACGGTGCTTTGTTGTGTCTTGTTTTGCACATGCTTCATGCGGAGAAGGCCGCAACCCATCGCGCCCGCGCCATAGGTCCCGCGGGACACACGTTGGCTGAATGTTGCTATTGTGAAAACTGCTGACGAATGTACAGCTCGGCGGACAATGGCGAAAGCACCCTCCCCGAACCCACAGGAAAACGCTTTTGGATATTCGACGAAGGCCGAACCGGCGGCGCCCATGTCGGCCCACCTGGGTACATTGGCTACCGCGGTCGGTTCGGTGCGCGCAGAGGCGGCGGCGGCCACGGTGCTTGGAGACGAATGTCACGAGAGAATGCAACACCGATCCACTCAACGGGTCAAACTGCACGCTCCTCCCTCGGCAGCGGTCATTTGCGCATGCCCAGCATAGCGACGGCTCCAACCTACCGCGCCCGCTCTGCACGTCCCGCGGGGAAGGTTTTGTGAAATTGCTAGTATGCTGGGAAACGTTCTCAGCTCAGTGCATACAAAAGAACCGAGGACAAGTGCCCTGGAAAAAAGCCCCGGTTTGTGCGCAAAAACAAACGGCGCGTGTGTTTCACATCAAACATGTTCGGGCGTTGTACTCTCCGGCGTGCTGGCACACATCTAAGGTGGTTAGAGGAAGCAATTTGGAGAGGCATCGGCCTTTTTCGGAGCGTTTCGAAACACGTCGTTATTTGGAATTTGCAGGCAAAAATCGTTTGCGATTGACCATCCAGTTCACGCAGCTTGAAGGTCCATACGGACTCTTCGATTGGTGTATATTTCGTACACTGTTTCTGGATCCATCTACATTTGCCGGAGGGCAAACGAAATAGATGGTACACACATTTCATTGTGCACTGAAGTCGGCAAGGTTATGCTCTACGAAGTCGCTCAACATGCATGCATGTATGGTGTGCATCATACAGTTTTCGTGCAAGGCGAATGGATTATTTCTGAAATTTTACACAGCACACCAAATGCCTCACATGCATAACATACATGGTACAATCCACCGCTCAGAACATCAAGGCTACAACGCTTCGTGCACGAGAAGCAAAGGGACCTGGCGTGAACCTTTCAAAACAGAACTTAATGGTTCGAAGTTCATCAACAAATTGACCGATCACCACACAAGATTCAAGGCCGTCTACACCATACAAAGCAAGGACCAAGCGTTCGAGACGTTCAACTATGTACTTCAATCAACTACTAGTACGTGATACCACTAGGACTTTGAAACGAAGGGCTAACATGTGATCGAGGAGGTAAATGCCCCCACACAACCAGGGTCCCATGTGGCGTCTTTGTTGTGTACGAAGAAAGGAAACCTTCAATAACATCCGCTGCGTCAGCGGTGATTTATCCGACGACCTGGGCCTTACGCACGGCAACGGGCGGCGGCCACCTCTCGGTGTGCTCAATTACGGTCTTTCTGGTCAACCAAAGGTCCCCTTCGGCAACCTTCAACCAAGATACCGAGACCAGCCTACCATCTCCACAACACGCGTCGACGAAAAGCGACCTAGCCGTGTAAACTCCCCTCCCGACAATTGCCTTCCAGACTCCGTGATCTTTCTGCCGTATGCTCCAGCGACTCACACGTGAACGCCTGCACGGTCTGTCTAGGGCGATCACCTTTGCCAAGTTGAGCAGGAGGAACACCAAAACAACGACACAACTATTGCGAAATGGCCCGCCTGGGCAACGCCAGCTGAATACAAAACGTCTACCGATCCCATGCTGACCACGAGCAGCCAGTGGCAGCTAGGCGCGGCGGCCAGTGCCCCAGACAGTCTGACGTCATCGCCGGTCTGGTACAGCCACAGTGGGACCCCTAGATCGTTCTTCAGCATGTCTAAGAGGAGGAGGGCTGCTAGTGTATGCGATGTTCCCTTATCGTACACAAAGGCATACACAGCCGTGAATGCCAAGCATAAAGGGCTACTAGCATCCACCACATCCTTGACCCGATGATCCACCTTGCGACAGCCTCGTGGTAGCCGGGGCGGGCAGGTCTCCACTTGCTGAAGGCTTTACCCCTCGCAAGATTTGCCACCATAGCTAAGGACGGCGACCCCTGCACGATGGGGCCCCAGCTCGACCAACCGAGCATCCTTCACCACTCGCTGGACGTCGCCTGCCGTGGCGGAGTGCTTGTCAAAGACCCCTGTCGTGAGTCTAGCGCCATCCCTGTGGCGTCCACCTCCTCGTGTCGTAGACACTACAAGGACCGTTGCCGATCCAACCCGCTCCTTCCTCACCCTGTACAACAATGCAAGAAGTAGCTCATGGCCCGTTGGGCCGTTGCCGTGGGCTGTAAGATCTCCCCAGTCGCCATCAGACCTTGACACCAGAGCGACATTTTCTATGTGGAGTAGACGCGATCGATTTACCAGAGCTGCTACTGTAGGCAAGGTCCAGACGCCGGACTCGTGGGCTCCTCAGTGATTGCCGAACAAATCAGATCTGCGCCCATACCGATCAGCTCAAAGTGTGTCGCTTTGACCTCGCTGTAATATCCACAAGAGGCACAGCGACTATCTCAGCCGCTCGCACGTCCCTAGGCCTGTCCAGCGGCGTCTCCAAGGATGCCGAGACGGCGTTTTTGACAAGGGACTCCTCTCTGCTTGAGATCCCGCTCCACTCTTTAAGCGCCACGTACATTATTCCTTCAGGGTTACCCTGAGCAGGCGCCTTGTCCCAGTACGCGGATGGCTGAAAGGCCTCGGACAGGAAGTAGGCCCCCAGCAAGGATGACAACTCGGCACGCTGTGATCGACATTCTTCTCCGACCAGCTTGGAATACTCTTCTTCCAGCTCTCTCCACTCCTTGTTCATGCTTTGAGGAACCTGTTTGGGTGTCGATACCACGACCTCAGAGGATGAACATTCAGAGACTAGTTGGGCTGACGAATCTGTACTGGTCCAGATGCACACTAGAGCGGCCGCTCGACACCGTCGGGTCTGCTGGCTGCAAGTTACCTTGCCCCCACACAGCCAGCAGCGCGCACCACCTCTTTCCGCGAGAGCCGACGCGGAAGCGGATACGTCTGCTCCGCAGTTCACGCAGCCGGAAATGTGCCCAGGACCGGGTGCGATCAAGGGGCGAGGGAGGTCACCCGTGTCCACTTTGACTTTTTCTTCCTTGCGAGGCCTGCTGGGTGGGAGCCCAGTGATGCCCCTGATTTGAGGACGCTTTCCTTGCCGCGCCGAAACTAGGGGACCTTCCGTGACCTGGGGACGGGTTACCCCTGGCAGCAGGAACTCGTCGGCACTAGGAGGGGGGGGGTGTACTCATAGTCGTGCATGCCGTAGTCGTTAGACCATTGACCTCGCATCCCTACAAAGCCGGGACGGAGCACGCCGGNAACTGCCTGGAGGGTGCTTGACCATTTTAACACAACGTGGTGCGATCATCCCCCTTGAGCGGAGTGAGGGTTCTCGCCCCCGCACAACATGATCTACTTGACCACCATTATGGTTACCGCCAAAAGAAAAACCAGAGGTAAAAAACCCCCCGGCAACCTGGTTGCCGAGTTCACGAAGTGAATTGGCTTGTTTTACAACGTCGTTGCCAAACGACGAAAACGTAATCCCGATGGCAAACACCGAGGGGGGGGGCTTGTTTTACAG